CTCACTGGAGGAAAGATAGCCTCTTTAATAAATGGTGCTGGAAAAATTGGGTTTCAACTTGCCAAAGATTAAAACTAGACCTATATCTCTCACCGTGCACTAAACTAAAATTGAAATGGATTAAAGATCTAAATATTAAAAGAGAAACACTAAACTGCCTGGAAGAGAGGTTAGGTAGAACTCTTGAAGACACTGGTGTAGGAAAAGATTTTATGAACAAAACCTCAGTTGCACGTGAACTAGCACAAAGAATCAACAAGTGGGATCTCTTATTAAAAAGCTTCTGCACAGCAAGAGAAACCACCAACAGCATGAAGACAAAACCCACAATGTGGAGAAAAAATTTTACCAGCTGTTCCTCAGACAAAGTTCTACTATCTAGAATATATAAAGAACTTAAAAAACTCAGACCTCCCAAATTTAAAGACCCAGTCCAAAAATGGGCATCTGAAATGAACACATTTCTCAGACAAAAGTAGAAATAGCAAATAAATATATGAAAAAATGTTCAACACCACTGGTCATTCAAGAGATACAAATGAAAGTAATACTGAGATTCTACCTCACCCCAGAAAGAATGGTTGCTATCAAGAAATCAACCAATAGCAAATGTTGGTGGGGCTGTGGGGAAAAAGGAATCCTTCTCCACTGTTGGTGGGAGTGTAGATTGGTGCAACCAATGTGGAAATCAGTATGGAGATACCTCAAAGAACTAGGACTGGAAGTCCTATTTTGCCCAGCTATTCCTCTACTGGGTATCTTCCCCAAAGAATTAAAAGAATCATACCACAGTGATATATGCACACCCATGTTCATAGTGGCACAGTTTGTAATAGCTAAAACTTAGAAACAGCCCAATTGCCCATCAACTAGAGACTGGATGAAGAAAATGTGGTACTACTCAGCCACAAAGAATGAGAAACTAGAGACATTTATAGCTAAATGGATGCACATTGAGGCCATACTCTTAAGTAAAATAAATAAGACACATGTAAATATCAAATAATTTCTCTGGTGTGAGAAACTGAAAGTGTAAATAAGGATCAAAATGTATAATAGATAATGTGAAATAGGAAGAAAAGGTACAAAGGGGAAGGGTAAGTGGGAGGGATATGGGAAAGGAAAGAAGGGAAAGGAATAAATATGATAAAAGGAAAAAAGGGAAAGTCTTTGTAAATAGGGAGGGGTGGAGGGGTTAAAGGGAGGGCAGGGGAATGGGGAAAAAATAAGAACCAATATAGATTATGTAAAGGTACAAATCTACAATGATGAATGTCATTATATTGTATACCTAACATGTACCAATAAAATTAATTTTTAAAAATCAGACTGAATGTTGAGAATACAGAATAAGTGAAAATCCGTAAGGATAGTACTTTTTATGTGAAATGCACAAAGGGTAAAACCAGTTGCCCAAGAAACACTCAGCCTAGGCAGAATATGACTCATTATTTGTAAATAATACAAATAAGCCACTAAGGACACTTATGTTTGGAAATTGTTTTACAAAAATTTTATTTGAGATCATATCCCCTTATAAAAAGCACATTACATCAAGATTGCAAAAGAGACATTTTTTTAAAAAAGAGGGACTTCTATCTACTCATCTATTTTATCCCATGATTCACTTCCTATCCTAACAGATAAAACTTTTTTTTCTTTTTTTCTTTCTCCTTCTGAAAAGATAACTGCCATGAGGGATATCTTAATGGAATATGCCAATTAATCCTTGCCAGGAAAGCAGTAGCTTACGACTGACTGGACTTGACATTCCTTTTGCCCTGACCCAAAGGTGAGTAAACCTTGAACTTAAATACAATTTTTCTATTACTTACACTCTCCCTGGGTCTTTTACTCACAAACTCTACCCTACATTTTAAGCACTCAAGAATTGCTTACAAAATGATTAAGGGATCTAAAGTTAATTTACTATTTTAACTGAGCAGCTAATTTTTGTAAAAGAATCTCAAAGTTAATAAAAAATTATAAGGAGAATCACCCAGTACTAAGAGGATGAATTCTGAAAGCAAATATATGTTATACTCTTTGTTTCAAGATCAATCCTACATAATATTTAGAATGGTAAAAATGCACTTTACATACTAAAATGATTTGATTTGTTTCAGTATGAAAGTACTTTTAATTTCTTTACTGCAGGTACAATGGCATCCAAGTCATCAATTTCTGTAATGGAAAAACAAGAATAATAAATAAGAGACACTTTTTCTAGTGATAAGCTCAGAGGAAATGAGAACCTCTATGGAGAGGTAAATGTCAAACATAAGGGTATAGGTACTTTTGTGCACATAAACTTCTCCCCGACAATGCAGATAGATCACTGATTCAGAGACAGATGCTTCATAGGGCATCTGTTTATAAAAGCTACCACCCATCTACAAGTCCTCTTACTCTGACACTAACCTTATTAGCAATATGCTTTGATTAACGGATCCAACTAGCCATGGTTGTATTTGTGCTTCTTCAGATCTGTATAACTACATGGGTGAGCTGCCAGTGAAATCCCAGAGAGAGGCATCTCTTTCCTGGGTCTCTACCTGAGGACTTAGGAATTTCTTCTCAGAACACTGTGCTCCTTTTTGGTTGTCTTAGGAAGATTCCTCACTAGTAGAACACTTACAGGTCTACCTTTTAGGATGAAAAGGATCTATCTAGTAAGAGATGCCAGGGACCTTAGAGAATCAACCTCAAGTATAATGTATTATTGCATTTAGCCTGGTCAGGCTTATTAGACAGACCAATTTAGGTTCTTTTGAATTTTATTTTTCTTTCTAAAGATATCTTATTCCAATAATCCTAAATTAGAATTCACTCACTAAAGCTCCTGGCCACTGAAGAAGCAAATTCCTTACTGAAGAAGGAAATTCCCTTCTATTATTATCTAGACTTAGTATTATCCCTACTAAGATAAAACCTGGCCAGATGTAGGGGCGCCTGACTGTAATCCTAGCACTCAGGAGGCTGAAGCAGAAGGATCACTGTGAGTTGGAGGCCAGCCTGAACTACTTAATGAGACCCTATCTCAAAAGAAAAGGTAAAACCCAACGCCAGTCTCTGGATACCCACTACTTTTTTTTTTCTAGCTTACTCTGCTAGGCCATTGTTCAAAAACTCATTTCTTTTACATAAAATATTCTCCATGGAGCTCAACATTCTCTCCATTGCTTAGCTAGATTTTCATTGTTCTTCCTTTGGCCTAAATATAAGATCCATTCTGTGCCCTTATCCATCAGTTCTTTGTTTCTGACTCAAGTCAGAATACTTGTCTGGACCCACATATACAACAGAAAATTTAGCTCACTGTGGTAAGGTACAAGATCAAATTATTCCCCGGCTTCCTATCCCTACCTCATTCTGAAACCACACTCATTTTCTCACTAAATGAGACACTTGACTTATAAATGAACCTCACAGAGAACACTGGCTGATAGGAGAATTTTCTCAGCCAATCATACTGATTTATAAGAAAAAGAAAATATTTTTTAAAAAATCTATTGGAGACAGTTTCCTTATCTGGTATTCAGTACACCACTCTGTATTGAATGACACTTAATGACACTCTGTCAAACAGATCTAACTTTCCCAATGTTAAACATAATATTTAAGTTCAGAATTTCAACTCTGACCAAATGCAGACTTCATCTGCAAACAAACTTGACTTTCTGAAGCAAATGATCTATGTGAACCATATTAAATGTCATAATATGAGGAAGTTTCTTTCTATAAAAGGATCTAAAATGAGTTACAAGAACATGTAATGTTTATTAATGTGCAAGATAGTATTTATTAGTGACTAGTACATCACTGTTAAGTTTAGTGGCCATTCTAGAGCAAGTAGAATCATTCTATGAAACAAAGCTCTTCAGGATATTAGTAAACACACTTAAACAAATTTCATACCTTAACTTTCAAGTTACACTTTGACTTACTAGGATCTTTTCTAGTATGTTCGCATGCCTACAAGATATTCACTGTCTCCTTTGCTTTCAGCCTATTAAAAAAACACTCATAAAACCTGTTACATTCACCAGGCTACATATTCCAGTCAGATATTTCTTTCATTTATTAATCTTCTTACCAAGTTTGAATTTAATCATTCCCTTATCTTCCTACTACCAAGCCTCATTTCTTCTCCTAAAATCAAGAAGTCATTCATTAAAAGCAAAAAATATTTTCAATGAGCTACACAGAAAAAAATATTAGTGAATAAATCATTTTAAACTCTGAAAACAGTTAAATTGATTTTGTAGTCATATGTAATTATATTTGAGTCTCTTTTGCCTAAGATTCCTAAGCAAATTATATTTTTCCCTTTTAAGAGATAATATTACTAAGGAAGTCTTCACTGTGACTAATCTTATAAGTGCAATACTTCATCACTTTCTATGTATATTTACTACTTTACATTATCACCATAGAATAGAAATTTTTAAAAGAAAAAAGGGGATAAAGAAGGAAAGCCCTTGCAAAATCATAAATTTTATCAATATTTCTTAGCCAAGCATGGTGGCATACCCCTATAATCCCATCACTCTGGGAGGCAGAGGCAAAAGGATCACAAGTTTAAGTCCAGCTGGGCGACTTAAGGACCTAATGAGATCCTGTGCCAAAAATAAAACAAAACATACAAAAAAGGGCTGGAAAAGTAGCTCAGTGCGAAGGCCTTGGGTTCAATCCCCAGTGCTAAGAAAACATACCCCAAGATTTCTTATTAGAATAAGACAGAGCTAGGGATGGGCAGTCCCTATCTCCTTAAAGGCTCATCACTTCTCTGTTCTGTGTACTGATCCTAAACAACTCTAACGTCAAGTTAGGAGTGTATTTGACAACTTCCAGTATTAGTGGGTTCCAGACACTTTTTATCAAGCATTCAAGGTAAAAACACTAATCCAATTGACTAAAGACCATTCTTCTTTCAAAGCCAAATAAGAGTCAAAATTTACCAACAATGAGATCTTACCTAAGATTTTAAGTAGATCATTAGTAAATGCCTGAAATGCTGGGAAAAATTCTTCATGTTCTTCCAATTTGTTGATAATGCTGTTTAAAAAATGCACAGTTTACATCAAATTTCTAACTTAGGGTTCCTTGCATTTGACTGGACAAAGGTGGCTGCAAACAGAACATCTTCCAAGTGGAAAAAAGCTATTCTACTAATTTAAATATAAACTTAATGATCAATTACTGCAATTCTTCCTTTTTTAATTCTTTGTTCATCTAATATCACTTTTCTAGAAAAGCATCTTATTGTCAGTGTAATCTGTTAAATTTATAACATGACAAACTTTTTAGTTAGCCCAAGACTTTTTAGAGAACAATACTTTTATAGTGTTTTCTAAAAATAGGCCTTTATATCCAATATCCTATTAAAAATGAAGAAAAAGCATTAACAGTCAGTAAAACTACCAGAGTGGGGATAAAGACCAGTGGTGGAATATATGTTCCTTTTAAAAGCATCAAATACCAAACACTCAAGTGCCAGATTATAGAAGGGTTCTTCCTGGGTAAACTTGCAAATATGTATACTGTTAGTGATTAATTATTCAGTTGTCTATGTTATGTCCTAAAATAGGACTCCCATGAAGTAGTTTAAGAGGTTTAAACTTCACTATATATAACTTTCCCTTAGAACAGGAGTATGCTGAAGAGTTTCTGATTCCCCCTATGTAAACTTACAGGCCCTACAATCTACTTTATCTTGAATACTTGACATTTTCTCTGTTTCTAAGGGGGTGAGATTATCTTAGGCTATCAGGTTATTTTAAAAGTGCTGTTCTAAATAGGAAAAGTAAATAACATGAAGGTTTGCATATCTTTAATTTCACCATTCCAAGCATTCTGAATGATTATTTTTCAAACATATACCTTTGGAGGTCTTCAGGTCCTAATACTTGCTTAACCTGCTCACTCACATCCTCATTAATCAGCCTACACAATTTTCCAACTGTGCTTACCAGTACACACAATGAAGATGAACTATCTGCAAAAGAGAAATAAAAGCACAGGATATTTTAAGAGAGAATTTCCAAAATCATTACATCCATCAAACATTTTATGCTTCAGTTACCCTTGATTTTTTTTACTTTAAAAATTTTTATCTATTTTTTGTAACTTATGAAGAATACTTCTTAAATGGGAGCCAAAAATGACAAAAGGTCATCACCTAATTCTAAGAGTTCTTGGAGGTTTCTCACAGCATTGTTCATTTCTCCAAGCCTAGTATAAACTTCATTCATTCGGGGATAGACTCCATTTAAAGAAGGCACATCAAATAATTTTTGGAAGTGAGAGACAATAGCTTGCAAAGTTTGAAAGTTTGGCATGTTGCTGTCCTGTTCAGAAGAAGTAAAAAAGTTCACATCTTAACATAATCCCAAATAGTTTATTAAAAACTTTAAAGTGTGAACATTTAGTATTACCTTTTCCTTATTTTCAACTTCTTCCAATATGGTATCTACCATAAACAACAAATTTTCAACTCTGACACCTTCATTTTCATCCTGTTTCTTAAAATTATGCCAAGGCACCAGGTCTGCAGATAGTATTTTCAAGGACTTATACAAATCCTTTAAAACAAAAGAAACTAGATGGTATTATTATTTTAATAAATAGTTCAAGCCTTTTCCAGCTTACCTGTCCACTTGCTCTCTTGGACGTGCTCTCAGTTTTTTTTTACTGTGGTAAAATACCAAATTTCTTTTTATTGTGAATAAAATAAAGTTTACAGTTTTAGCCATTTTTAAGTATAAGTTCAGTGTTATTAAACAGATTCATCATTTTGTTCAATCATCACCATTATCTGTTCCCCATCTCGGTCTTGTAAAACTGAAATACTCTACTCATTAAATAATTCCTCATTCTCCCCTCCCTTAGCAACCACCATTCTTTCAGTCTCTCATTTTGACTATTATAATAGTTCAAATAAATGGAATCATACAGTATTTGTCTTTTGATGACTAACTTCTTTCACTTAACATAATGTTCTCAAAACATTCACCCCTGTTGTGGTATGGTTTAGAATTTACCACCTTTTGATGGATGAATAATATTCTTTTAAGACAAGATAACTCTCAGCCAGGTGTGGTGGCACACACCTGTAATCTTAGCACTTGGGAGGCTGAAGCAGGAAGATCACCATGGGTTTGAAGCCAGCCTGGACGATATAGCGAGACCCTGTCTCAAAAAAAATATTTTTTTCTGGGAAGATGGCAGAGTGGTGAACAGCAGAAAAACAGCCTCTCCAGGATCTGGTGTCCAGATGCTGGAATACAGCAATGTGAGGATGAGGAAGAGGAAAGTGGGTCCCCAAGACTCAGCAAGGATCTGAAGTGAGAACTGAAGCCCACAAGGAAAGTAAAGAGAGAGACCTTAGTGTAGAAGGAGGTGGTAAGTGGTGCTTTCTCCCTGAGCCTTGACTCACTTTGTGGGAGGGGTGGCTTGAACCTGCAGAAGCACACTGATTATGAGTGACTCCAGAGGCCTCCATGGAGAAACACACCAGTGGAACAGAGGAGTTGATGCAGCAGACTGCAGTGGCTAGTAAGTTATTTGGGTTCAGACGTGCCACAGGAGAGGACAACTGGCCATTCACCATCTTAGAGAGGGGCCAACTGAGCTCTGAACTCAGAGCAACTTCAAGTTGGCTCATCTAGTGGCTCCCAGTATCAGGCTGAGGTGGAACCAAGTCCAAATCATCAGGAGGTCAAGGAGACAAGTTCAAGCTGGCAGGAGGCACATGGATTGTTGCAGGCTGAACAAATCAGGTTCCAGCACCACAGCCAGAAACCTGCCTGAACTTCAGTGTAACTAAAGGTGCAACCTTGCTAGGATTATCCTGTACCTCACCGTAAATCTACATTTGGGCTGCTGGGATTCATCAACATGGATCTGTGCTCTGAGAAAGACATGCTCTAAAGTGGACTTTTTTTCTTTTTCTTTTTTTGTTTTTTTCTTGATTGTTTGGTCTTGTTTTTATATGAGTGTGAACATTGTTTCTTCTTTTTTTTTTTTTTTGGTACCAGGGATTGAACTCAGGTCCTTGCGCTTGCACAGCAGGCAGCAAAACCACTGAGCTAAATCCCCGGCCCTGTTTCTTCTTTTTTGTTGTGGTTGTTTTGTTCTGCTCTTGTTTTTATTTCATCCTTCTCTCTTTCCCTCTTGTCTTCACCAGTTTCCCAAAGTTTGCATAATCCTCCTCTGTTCTGCATCCTTGTCTCTACTCTCTTCCTCTTCTTCTATTTCTCTATTTTTCCCCCTAACCCATTTAAAATTTTGTTCCCTGAGGGTGAAATTGCCATACTGGAGGCATATTTACTGAATAGAATTCTCTGCTTTGCTTTAAACTTTGTTATATAACCACAAATCTACTTTATACAGTTAAAAGTGGCAAATTAATAGTTACCACAGTTTGTCGTTTTCAAGGCTGTTTGATGCTATTGTTATTAGTGATTGTGCTATTTTAGGCAAGGTGACATAACTGTTCTAATCAGTTGTTCTTCCTGGTAGGCCAAGACTGAGATTGCTTGATGTTCATAAACAATATTACAGACTGGTGCCAAAGAAATCAGGGGCTAGGCCAAATAAACAGCAACTGCTCATCCCCAATAAATTGCAACCAACTCAAAACTCAAAAACCAGCTACACCTAGAGGACATCTCTAAAAAGTAGTCATTCAGAGGAGTTCTCACTACTAACAATAAAGCTACCTGCCATAAGAAATTTGCAAGCATCAAACCAGGAATTAAACTAAAAAAAGAAAAAAGAAAATGAGAAGACATGGAAGCAAGACACAACCCCAGATGTTCAGCTCGCCAAAGGCAAACCCAGGGGGCAATGAGGTGGAACAATTCATAAGCCACCTGCCTGGACTCTTTGAAGTGGTAAGAGTGGAAGTAACAAAGAAGATGAATGCAGTTCTAGAAAAAAAACAAATCAGAAATATTTTCTCAGATAACCCCATGGTGACCATAATGAAGGACATGATTAGTGACTCTAGAGCAGATACAGATAAAAAAAAAATTAGAAGAGCTTAGGAAAATCATGAACACCAACATACTATAGAAATGGAATCCATGAAACAGATTCATACAGATATCCAAGAGATGAAAAATTCCATTGAAAGGATACACAGCAGAATGAGCCAAAGTGAGGACAGAATATGTGATATAGAAGACAGGAGTGCAGTTAGCGATCCTGAAAAGAAGGATTTCTTAAAAATAGCAAAGGACTACACAAAATCAATCTAACAGCTGCTAGATGATGCAAAGAACAACAACATAAGGTTGATCAGAGTCCATGAAAAAGGAGATGGCGCAAATGACATAAAAAACTTGTTTACAGAAGTAATGGCAGAAAACTTCCCAAGCATGGAAAAAGAATTTGACATACAGATAAGTGAGGCATATAGAACTCCAATTAGCCATGATTGTAAAAAAAATCTACACCAAGGCACATAATAGTCCAGATTCCAGAAATTCAACATAAGAACAGAATATGAAAAGCTGTTAGAGAAAAGAAACAAATCACCTATAAAAGAAAGCTCATCAGAATCACAGCAGACTTGTCAACACAAACCCTCAAGTAAAAGAGAGCCTGGAAGGAAGAATTTCAAGCCCTAAAACAAACTCCAGCCCAGACTGATGTACCCCACAAATCTATCCTTCAAAATTGATGGAGAAATAAGATACTTCCATGACAAAGAACACCTGAGGAAATTCATGAACACCAACTGGAACTCCAAAATGTTCTGAAGAACATTCTAGAAAGAAATAATGAGGACTACAACTCTATGAACCCCAAAAGAATGAATCCACTAGGCCAGGCAAGTAATTGAACAGAGATTAAGAAAAAGGGGTGAAGGACCAAAACCAGGAAAATAACATGATAAGGATAAGTCAATACATATCAGTTATGACCATCAATATAAATGGTCTCAATTCACCAACAAAGGAAATAGACCGGCAGAATATATCAAGAACCAAGATCCAATAATATGCTGCACTAAAAAAAACCACATTTAATTAAGAAAGAAATTTATATAGTGAAAGTCAAAGGATGGAAAACAATATTCCATGCAACAGGAACTGGGAAAAAAGCAGAGGTAGCTATTCTATTTGTGGACAAAATGGATTTCAAGCCAAGACTGATTGAGACTGACAAAGAAAGTCACTACATACTCATAAAGGAAACAATCCAACAGGAAGCGATAACAATCAAATATATATGCACCACATACCAATGCACCCAATTATAGAAAACAAATATTACCAGACATGAAAAATCAAATAAGCACTAATACAATTATAGTGGGAGGCCTCAATACCCCACTGCCATAAATAAATCAACTAGAGAAAAAAAAATTAACAAAGAAATATCAGAACTGAACCAAACTTTTGAACAAATGGACTTAGGATGTCTATAGAGTGTTCCATCCCACAATATCAGAATACACATTCTTCTTAGCTGTACATGGGACTTTCTCCAAAATAGACCATATACTATCTCACAGAACATGTTTAAGTAAATGCAAAGGAATTAAAATTATCCCATGTATAGGGCTGGGGATTAGCTCAGTGGTTCCGCCCCCTGCCACTCAACTGCAAGGTCCCAAGTTTGATCCTCGGTACCAAAAAAAAAAAAAAAGAATTTGGAAAAATTATCCCATGTACATTATCAGACCACAGTGCAATTAAATTGGAAATCAAAAGAAACCGCAAAAACTTCAAAAACACATGGAATTTAAACAATACCCTCCCTGAGCAACCCAATGGGTCACAGATGAAATTAAAGAAGAAATTAGACAGTTTCTATAATTAAACAATAATGCCAATACAACATACTGGAACTTTATGGAACACAGTGAAAGCAGACCAGTGAGGGAAATTTATAGCAGCAAATTCCCGTATCAGAAAAACAGAGCCAGCTCAAATAACCTAATGTTGAACCTCGGGCTTCTGGAAAAAAAAGAGCAAGTCAAGCCTAAAGATTGTATGAGGAAGGAAAATTATAATGATTAGAGTAGAAATTAATGTAATTGAGACTAAGAAAACAATATAATCAGTGAACTGAAGAGTTGGTTATTTGAAAGATTAAATAAAATTGACAAACCCTTAGCCAACCTTATCAAAAAAAAGAAAGAAAAGACTCAAATGCATGCAATTAGGTATGAATAGGGTGAAATCACAACAGAACCTACAGAATATTATCAATACCTACTTTGAGAGCTTATATTCTAATAAGAGAGAAAATACAGAATGGACAGATTCCTAGATACAAATGAAATGAAATACCAGAGCTGAAAGAAGAATATTTTAAAATTCTAAGTAAAACAATATAGGTCAATGAAATTGAATATGTAATTTAAAACCGACCAACAAAGAAAAGACCAGGTCCTGACAGATTCACTGCTGAATGCTACAAAGAATTTAGAGACAAACTAATACCGCTACTTCTCAAACTCTTTAATGAAATTGAAAGGGAAGCAATACTCCCAAATTCATTTCTGGAAGCAAGCATTACTCTGATACCAAAGGCAGAGAAGGATCCAACCAAAAAAGAGAACTACAGG